AGTGCTGACGAAAAACTCACCGACTCCTTACTTTTGGCTGAGAGCGTCATGGTGGTGCTTAGCAGTCGGTGCGGCATCGTAGATGCTCGCGAAGCTTTTGTTGCATCCATTTGCAAGTTTGCCTTACCTTCATTTTTCGTTCTCTCGGAGAGACGTGAGTTATTTTATATATTTTATGCTACTTAAATTGGGCTAAGTAGGTCTTTGTTAGTTCTATTACATGTTACAGGGGTGCAACATCCTGCAGAAACCACATTTCAATGCTTTCAAAAATTTGTCAATAAATCGAAAAAATTGGCAAAGCTTTGTACCTTTTTGAAGACAATTTTCAGTCGGATGTGGGGTCGAATTTTGCCCTGGGGTAGCCCCAAGTGCTCCCTACTCACTTCCAGCCGCGCAGTTAGGCTCGTAGATGTTTGCCCCAGAATGCAAGGCTTACTCCTCTCAGCTGATGAAATTGTGACGGCCTTCCTTTTAATCTAAATACTCTTGCCAATATGCCGATCATTTAAAAAATTCCCATCAAAATATTGCTGGTATTTTACCTATTTTTTGAAGCAAAGCTTGAAGTTCGTAAACTCAATTGAACTGACATTGTGCCCAATTACAACGATCCCTCTGGATTTTCTTATTCATTTTTATTCATAATGTTTTTTTGTAAGTTCTGAATGTGTATCAGTCCTAGTAGATTGCTACAAAATGTTCAATTTTCATTTTCCTTAGTACAAAAGGTAGTGTATAGCATGCTTTTCCATCCAATTTTTTATTGTAAAATCAGGCAATTAATACATACTTCATAATTATAGAGTACACTGTGGAGGACTCTTACTAACGCACTTCAAACATATTGTGCAGTAATTTATCCCCTTTCTGATCGCCTTTGACTTGGGAGGTCATTTTTTGTCTCTGTGATACGTGAAATGCTTGCCACTTGGCGGGACTTGTGCTGCCACGTGGGGTGCAGAAGCAACTGTTATGTTTTGTAGCTTGTAATTGTGAACGGCAAAAATAACCGCATTTTTTGGTGTACATAACAACTCCTTTTGCATATGTGTATTTGGGGTAAGTGCAACCGGCTCATTTTATGTTTTCCCAAAATATATCGAGAAACTTTTTTGAAGGTTCCACTACATCAGCGTTTAAATAACGAAGAAAAAGTTAATAATTTGCGGCTTAAAACTACCAGTAATTCCATCATTAGGTATTTCGTCTGTTCAAAAAAAATGTATTTTTAAGCAATTTTTCACTTGGGTTTTTGAAGTTGATGTCTATCTTAAAAACATTACATTTTGGAGATTTTGGAAAAGATTTGTGCGGATAAGTAACTGTTTTGGGTCTGGAAGAGATCCTATTTTTTGAGGTTGTCTTGCTCCTTATGAAGTATACTGACTTAATTAAGCGGGAACTATTTGCTCAACCAGGAATTAATGGATTATATTGCATTGGTTTGAAGTTGTTAGTGGTTTTCTGTTTTTCTACTTGAAATATATTTGTTGGAACGCCTAAAAATGCATCCCATGGTTTTCACAACATCTTGCTGAAGGTAATGGGACCTTCTACTTTTGAACTTTTAGTTCCTCCTCTGTTGCAGTGGTACGATAGTTTGAGTATTGTGCCCTTTTGGTGTTGTATAGATTCCTTTCTGCCTTAGCCTTCTTGAGATTACTTTCTCAAGTATTGTTTATTTCTCATATGGTGTAATGCCTGTTATCAAGAATACTCCCCTTCCCTTTTATTATAGAATTGGACAATATCTGCTGATCTTCCATTTGTTTTGTTGTTTGCCTTATCTGTACCGATCCTCTTTCCTCATTCTGTTTAAATTACATACTTGGGTTCCGGAAATATATCCATCTATTTATTTTTGGCTCTAGCTTCAGTTTTATGCAGTTTCCCCACATCTAATTCGTAAAAAGTGCCATTGCGGTCTTACCTACAGAATGGGCCTTCTTAACCTGTCTAGGGCAAAATTTGGCTCCATTGTTTTCATGTCTATTCGACTGGTTCACGCGTCGTCTGTTTAAGCGCGTCTGACACCCTCAAAGTATGCCTTAAAAGGAGATTTTTTAGGAGTGTTTTTTCAGATAGCAAGGCATCCTAGTGTTATTCAGCAATATTCTGCAAATCGTGCCTCTATTCTTGGCATTTCCGCGTTTTGGGTAATTCATACTTGGTGCAATGCCATTACTACAAATTTTATTCTTTCAATCGTTGTGGGAGCTGTCAATGGTTGTAATTTTCATTGTGCTGCATTAATCAAAGTAAATTTGATCCAATTCTTAAACTTAAAGTCTATGAAAATGGCAAAATATCATGATTATTGTCTGCTGTATGGCTTTTTTTGCTGCTTAACTGGATTTCATTTACGCGTGGCCGTAACAACGCAATATGCTTTACCGCCACGGGGCTTGTACTGATGTTATTTGTGCTAGTCAATCGGCGAAGCCGATGAGGAAGCCTATTTTCTGCTCTATCAGCAACTACAGCTGTTTTCTTTCATAAGAATGGTTCATCTTCAACTTATTGTTGTCAAAATTATTGGTCCATATGTTTCATTTTCATTCAGTTAATCCTATTGTCGCTCTACCACCTTTTAAAATTTTTTTACATTTTCCATCCAAAACATCTAGAAACTGGCTTTTAGTTCCTGAATTTACCGCCTTTAAGGCCTAATTACTTCTTGAAAACTGTGAAATGCTATTTTCTGTCACTTTTTCCATACATTAATAGACTTCCTGAATGTGTGTGTAATTGTCAACCTTTTTGCTATGTTTTTATCAAAAAAGGAAGCATAATTAGTATTTCTGGGCTCTAACATAAATCGGCTACAATTCTTATGAATATTCAGCAATGTTGATGTTTCCTGTTTAGTATTGGTTGGAGTCAATGGGTAATGCCATCGGAACGCATGTATAAATTCATTTTCATGAATTTTATTTTTTTGTAACTTAGAACTCCGATTTAGCTCATTCGAGCGTGAAATCTTGAAGTGCAAACGCTTGAATTTTTCATGAATTTTAAAAACCTCTTCGTTTGCATCTATGTAAAATTAGAATAGTACATAGACTTATTGTAATGCTAAGTAAGCGAGGAACAGATATCCACCTACTTATCGGTTTCATGATTTTTTATACGGGGGACCAAATCATTTTTTTCAATTATATTACCGCCCCATTTTTTTCATTTGTCATCCTTACACATTCACTTTGTAAAGGATGTAAAGTTCACTGAAACATCAAGAATAGTTGTCCTCATTAGTTTTAATTATTATAAGGTCAAGAAGTATACGTTGTTTTGTTGCACAATTCCCGTTGCTCAATGATAATCTGCCTTGTACCTTGGTTCTTAATATACCCTTTTGTAGACCAGTGTGATTTCCTATTTTTCATTTTATTTTACCGACAGAGATTTCTAAACACTTGCACCACCAGCAGCAGCCGTTGGACGAGGCTACTGATCGAAGTCCGGTAGTGATTGTGGTGAATACCAGCCACGGCCTGGGTAACCTTAGCCTTGAGGTGTCCCCCTCGTCAACGAGCAGCTCTGCGGACGCAACCGCCCCCTCCTTCTCTGCCAGCTCTCATGGATCTCAAACACCTTCTTCGCTTTTCATCACGGCCAAACACATCCAGGTTTCAAAAGCGCTGCTCGAGTTGGCCAAGGTGAATGGTGCCCTGCTCGACTCCTCGTGGTACCTTGCGCTTACAACCATGCAGGTGAGGTAGTCCCCTTTCCCTGCCATAGTATCAGACTACCCTGCTTTGCTGAAGTGAAGAATACACTGATTCCTGAAATCAACATTAATGGCTACCTGCTGTCTATCCTCCCGCATTTGCATTTCAGTATTATGGATCATTAGTTGGTATTCTTTAGGACTACAACAGGAGTTATCAGGTCCATAACTATTCGGTACAAATTGCCATTCTATTTCCACAAAAATACTATACTCATAACTTCATCGAAAATGATATGCCCTATCTTAAGGGATCTGGTGTTCCTGAAATTCCAGAAAAAAAAATTAGTGTGGCTCAAATTTGCGGCAACGCGCATGACCAAAATTTTTTCCCATCGGAGAGTGGTTGGTTTAATGACACTGTGCACACATCCTTAAGTGTGACCAAGTGGATCATTTCATCTTTCTTTTTTACATATTTAACGCCGATTTACTCGACTTGTTTATCCCGTTTCGACTTCTGAATCCTCTACTGACTAAATGTTTCCAAGAAGGGCATATAATAAGTAAGTTGAGCAGGCAGATGGTTTTACTGTTGTGTTATTCAAAGTATTTTTCTTGATGGTTACTAAACTGGCATAAACATTTCCTTCCTTTTTTCGGACTTTTCGTACTCCGTGTATGCGCTATTGTTCTATAATTGTGTCAATAATTTCTGGGAATGTCTACAGCACTAGTAGCCGTTCTCATTCCGTTTTTTTCCCTCACGCCTAATTGCTGAACGCTTTTAGAACGTTTCAAAACTCGCATCCTCGTTTACCCTTCTCTGATTGGTCAACAGCACGCCCAGATAGACTGCAAATGTACTAATAGTCAAGGCCATTCGAGATTATGAATATGCGTGAGAATGGTGTGCATCGATGATATGCTCCAGTAGTCCAGTTAGCGGGCACGTGAGGATGCGCTTTACTCCTATCGTACAGTAGTACTTTATGTAGTCTTTACCGCTTGTCTGCTCTTGTTGGGATTTCGACATTTTCCGTGCTCCTGCATGTATGCATAAGTTTTAGCATTGTAGCCAATACTCATTATTTTCGTCAAATGGTATATGGATTTGCATAAAACTAAGCTGTTGGCGATCTTCAGATTCATCTAAAAATGTTACGTCTTCGGTGCCCTAAATTTCCCTATTCGCATCTTCGGAACAAAGACTGGTTGATATGCGTTTATCAAAATCCACGAAAAGTGTTTTACCAGTACTACTTTCTTAATTTCTAGACAAAGTTGTTTATGTAGTTTATTTACGGCTTTTGGAGGGGTAGTCACCTGTCTCTTTCGAATCCAGTGCGATGCAGTTGCATTGACCGATGGTTGAACGTTTTAGAATTTTCTCGAACCAAAATGCGTTTACTATTAAGAGCATTTCTTCACTTTTTGCAGTTCAAAATAGACCCCCTTTAATGCACATTTCCCTTAACAGAACCGAAACCTTTTCGTTACATACTCTAGTCGGATTTTGAGAGTCACCTGCAAACGCACCACAGCCTTAAAACGGATAGAGCTAGTTAATTTTTGGTAGGCCCAAAAGTCACCTGGGTGTATTCTGCATGCAGAAAGTGGTATCCACCTTTCAGTATTGAATCCCATAAATGTACCGTTTTTACGAGGATTCATATGTTTGGGAAGACTAGGGCAGCGCCGTTTTCTATTTTAGCGATTTAGCTCTTTTAAAGTCGTATTGTAAATTTCCGCTTCTCTAAATCTATTAGAAAGGCGATTACCCGAAATGCCTATGTTGAAGACTTTAATGCTTGATGTTGTGATTTTCCGACCAAACTCAATTATTTTATGTTTGAAATTCACCAGTTTTTTAAGCAGATCTTGATAGAAGTTAAAGAGAAGTCCGGATTTTCTACAAAAATGTAAAGACGTCTTGATGTGCCTTTTGTAATGCTGGAAGGGCATCATTCCAAAACCTGAAATAATTTTGCTGTTGTAGTGTTTTGACATTTTGTTTGACTACGGGGAATTTTAAGCCAACTTCAATCTTTAATACCAACGGTAAATCATGGCATTGGTACGGCTTATTACACCTTCAGGGAGGGCTCAGGACGCTGCACCGTGTTGGAATGAAACCTTACATAATCTAATCGAATATACCCCATTTTGCTTAGTTATGTGAAGTTTTCAACATTCTTTATTACATTTTCTCAGAACAATTTATAGTAATGGCCCAAAAAGGTGTCTGATTTGAATCATACGATTGAGCTTCCTTCGTAACTTTTTAATTTGCCATCAACTATTCTCTATTAACAGCCGATGAGAATGGATTAATAAGTATTTCCCAATTTTTGGTTCTCCAGTTTGTTGTGGATTCGTGAGCCTACACTAATTTTGAGTGTGCTTTGAAGTGCTCGATTTATCTTCTCCTTATTGAGAAAGTTATGGTATTTTCAAACTAAGAAATTACCTCCTGCCATTGGCATAAACAAATTAATGACCACTCTTGGAGTGTATCCGAAGGCAATGTCTTTAAACTTTTAACTAAGATTTGAAGGACGTTTTTACCAACACTTATTTAACTAGTTTCGATATTTTAGTGATATGAATGTTCATTTGTTAAAAGGATTCTGTTTGACACTCATTTGTCTTAATCAGACAAACTTCAGCATTTGCCATGAGGTTGCTCCACTCTGCCTAGTGCCATAAAATGGTGCTTTTATTTGAGTGATCATCATTTCGCAAAAGCACTTCTGGGTCTCCCCACTTTGATCTTTATGGATAGGTCTTCTTATGTGATGCGTGTAAAACTGCGCATATTTCATTCACCAATGCATAAGTTTGCATTTTTAAGAAATTTTGATTTTTTCCCAACATCTAGGTAAAAAGTAAGCGTCCATTCACTTCGGTATCACTTGGCCGCTTATGCAACTGAATGCTTTTTCATTAATTACGTGGATGCAATCAACAGCAAAACTGACATCGAAAACGCAAATGTTGTTGCATTTTGCTAGTATTTTGGCTTAGTAACTAAATGTTTAATTTTCTCTCTCCATTAATACTTTTAGCACCTAGTGTGGATGCTTGGGCTTAAGGCGGCCCCTTCGATTACGATATCGAGTACGAAGGCGGTGGCGTCGAACTCGCAGAATACACCCGTATCTCTGCGTCTCGACACAAGCTTCTTCGAGAATGCCAACGCGCCCAATCTGCCTAGCCAAGGCGGCAGTGTAGTCTCCAAGGCTCTGACCGAGTTGCCTACTCTCTCGGAGACTCTCTCTTCCATCTTTGAGTACTCCAGGTAGCACTTTGTACCCTGCGTCATTCTCCAACGATTCACATGTTTTGCGAACCAAAGCTATAAATTATTTTCTTTTAGTTAATTTGAATTTACTAAACGATTTGCTCACAATATCATCGAGACATTCTCAGCGCAGGCGATGCAAACTGATCTGCCAGCTAATTGATTAAGCATTCTGAACTCATGCTAGTACTTACTATGTTTTCCACCCAATTAAACGTAAAACTTGCTATCCATAAGCCAATCCGATCATTGATAAGTTTTGAATCTTACCTATTTGCTATATTACCGACACTGCAGCTTCTAATCTGTACAGTTTTGTAACAATTACCCCCGCGACGCTTACATTTGCTTATCTCATCTTTCACCATTCCTTAAGGACGACTCCTTACTTAGATTCTCGGAATATTTTGGTAAAAATCTACGTAGACAACCATTAACTTGACATTTTCTGCTCACTCGAACCATGTCATGTTCCATATCTAACTGTTTTATTCCAACCCCTCTCTAAACCAGGTCCTTTATTTCATAAGCATTAGCTCTTAAAATTCATTTGACAGCCCCTTTTGCTAAGTGCCTTTTTATTTTCTGTTTTACCATCCATAGACGTTCCCTGTATTCATTAACATTAAGTGAAATGCATTTGACAAAGTTACTGGCCAGTATGGAAATATTACAACTGATTGGGGCGGTGGTGACTTACTATTTGTTGCACTGTAAACGTGTGCACAGACTATACATTGAAGTTGGATGTAGAATCTTTGGACATTAGCGATGAGCAATGGTAAAGAATTGTTAATGAAATGTTTATAACGTCTTAGTTGTGGTAATACATTTGTTGCTACTAATGATCTCTGTGGTTCTTACCTTTGTTGTTTCATATTTTAGGACTTTACTTTTAAAATGAATCTAAAGGCATTGAATTCATCTAGAAACTGTCTATGATTTCACCCATTCCTTCAATACTAGGCTTCCTCTGCTGTCCTGTTGTGATTGGGATTGCATAAATAGTCACTGTCAGTAAACTTTCATCATGGATTTTTAATCAAGTATTATTTGAACGTTGATTAAGTAGATTGTTAATGAACCTAAATCGAAAGTTGCAGGAAACTATTAATATAACAAAGTCGTATTAAACGGTTTTTTTAACTTTGACGTTTCAGATCAATGGGTATCTATTTCTAAAGGCAACTCAAATAATGGGGTATTATCTTGCTGAGTCTAAATGTAAACCAAATTCGAAGAAATATTCTCTGCCCTGTGATTGTTAAGATCGACTGATACTATCCGCAGATTCCGTATTAGGTAAGCTTTTTTCGCCCCTTTTTTGACATAGCTCCCTATCGTTATCCTTGTCAACCCATTATCACACTACTTATGTGTTAACAATGAAGCATCACTGAGATCGTTTCTTATCAGCGTTATTCTGTGAGTTTTTAACCTTGCTGAACTTGCCTCCACTTACTTCCCATTTAGCCCACTTGTTTTATTTGCTGTTCTTTACAAAATGTATTATGATGCGGATGAATTTAATATCTTATTTGACTGACTGGTATAATAATAGTATTTCGTAACCTTCTGAGTCTTTACTTATGGTGCCTACAGACTTGTTTCATGCCTATTTTAATTTGTCTATTATCAAATTAAGATACAGTAAAATCGGACAATGTGAAGTGATGAAAAAAAAAACGACTTATATGTTCGAGCTATACCGAACGGTGCACGTCTTCTCATTACGCTGCGTTTTTAGCGCCAGCTCATATATTTTTCATTATCGGCTTTGGTGGTCTTTTAAACAAGGAGTACTAGATAATAATTTATAAATAATATCCTTATACGGTAATTAAACTTCTATGAAAGGAGGTGCCATTGCTTTTCTCGGGCTTTTTCAATTTAACTTTTCAGTTACTTTCGAAGCGAAGCATTTTCCAGAATTACTTAGCATAAAGGCGACGTCCAAAAAGACTTTTTTAACAAACGTAATGGCGGCGTTTTCTATTGGCAGATTTTGCTGGCTTAGGTCCTTTGTTGACTGTTTGCGCACATTGCTTTTTAAAAAATCCCTCTGAACCCTCTGTATATCCCCTTACTCCTTCCTTTTATTATATTTAGCGTAATCAGTATGGGGCATGAAGTACCGCCAACGTTCTCTCATGTAAACTCACTTTCCATAAGTTTCCGCCCATTTGTATGGGACCTATAGCCGTACTCTGGTTAAATAATGAAATCGCCTGATGGCGCTATTACTTAGCGAGGCCTTCTCTCGTGACGCCTGTTTTAAGCATTTGTTGAGGCCCTATTCTTGGTCGTTTTTGTCCCTTAAAGTACGCACTTGTACTGCAGCTCTCTTCTTACCGGTGGCCATCAGTAACAATTAAACAATCGTGGGTCGGTGAAAGTTTTGGACAATATTGTAACTGGGTCTATCGCTAAAATGAGTGCAAGCATAAGTGGTGCTTTTGTTACATGCCTAATTTTTTGCAGTAGCCTGCTTGATGTGAAGAAAGAAGTACACCACTGCCAAACCCGTTCACGCTACTGCCTTAGTAAGGCGAATCAATGCGTGGCATTGGTCCTACCTGATTTTGCAAAGTATATTCGGCTCACTCTTTTCATATGAAATGCAATATTTTGCTATTGCGTCCTTTTTCCGTTTTGATTTGAGCAGCACTTTTTTGTTCCCCCTCATTCATGAGCTTAAGTGCGCTCACTTTCCTACTGTTAAAGGTACTTTGACCCAGCAATAATGCTACTTATTCCGCCTTCGTGAGTGAATTTAGGTGCTTTCATGGTGTAACAACATATTTTGTAAAAGTTTCTTAATTACTGCGTTTTGCTACCTATTTTTACCAGTTTTTCCCTAATTTCGCTGACCTACTTCAGTTCAAATTTTCTTCCAGCTAGTTTATTGTTGCTTATTTTATAACTAGCAAAAGCCATTCGCTTTTAAATTACCCTGCAATAAAATTTGACCGTTTTTATTTGCTATGCTTATAAATATTCCATGGTTTTCATTTTAAAATATCGTTTAATTGCATTTCAAATTTTTTCCGACCCTCATTTTGTTGTGCTTAAAATTTCACGAAATCGATAAATGTTTTATTT